TTATTTTTTTCTGAAATTTGTTTTGTTATTATGTTATCTATATTATATTATATTATATATTAATATCAATTAATAATTAATATTTAGTTATCTTAGTTCAATTGTCGAATTAAATCGATGAGACAAGATATTAATTACAAATAATCGCACAATGATCGCAAATACATATTTCCTTACATTCTAAACGCACGCTCATAAACCTAAACTTTTTCAGTCTTATATACTAACCAACATAATAATCAGCCGCTTGCAGTCAAGTACTAAATGCGCCATCTAGTCGTGAGAGCTGAACTACAGAAATGAAAAAATAATTCTATTGAACTTATTAAATTTTTCATTAACAGAACATAATTAAATTGATTGAATCCATAACCCACTTTAGCAAAACTATTTCATATATTTGATTAAATATTCAGTTAAGTTTAATCAATGTAATTTTTATCTATTTGGTAATTATTTGGAACTTCGTATACATAAATGTATAATTCAACAAAAAATTATTTTTTAAAATATTTTTATTGAATAATGCTGTAACTTAACTAAAATACAATAAGTCTTATATATCCTTATACAATATATCAAATTATTATAAGAGAATGTTAATTTCTTGAAGGAACATAACGTTTACCATCACTCATCAAATGATCGCAAGAAGGTATGAAATCGGCAAGATCGTTGTAATAAATGCAGTGCCAATCGTTTCGTTCTACGACTTCGTAAGCATTTATGTGCGTATTATTAGAAACGTTAAGTAGTTTTTTATAGACGAATACTACTTCGTCTCGCAAGGTTACTATTATATGATAAATTTTTCCTAGTTTAATTATTACGTTATCATTGTTTATAAATATGACGGAGCCTTGTTTGTACAGAGTGCCATTAATTCGAGCCCACTTAACAATTTCATATTCAGAACAATTGAGTAAATTTGACAATGTTGAACAGAATTTTTTACAATCAACTAACATTTCTATTCGAGTTAGCTCTATGGAACCTTTTTCTAATCGCGTTTCAAACCCAGTTTTACATAAAAAACGGTAAGAGACTTGAAGCTGGTGTTTCAGAGCAAGACTGTATTCGGGATTAACCCGTGAAGTAATTGAATTTGCAATATCTTTAAATGTTTTATGTTTGCCTTCGAAACGAATTACTGTAAATTGAATCAAAGGTCCAAGTGACCTCATTAATTCTGGATAATGAAGAAGAACATGAAATTTAAATTTGAGTGTTTTCTTAAATAATTTTATGAAAAGTGAGTGATGCTCGTCAATGACATTTTCAAGCCGTTCCAATAATAGTTCGCTTACTACAGGACTTTTAATTAAGTTACACATCTCTCTGAGTACACAGTAAAAATACCAAACCTTGTCCTTTTTAGGTACTAAATCTCCTACTAGTATACCAAAATATTCAATTATAAACGCCATTTCGCTTGCCGAACAAATAAAAATTTTTTTACTTAAAACGCTCTCTCGTATTTCGGGTAAAATGTTTTTGTCTTGTAAACAAATTTTGTTCAAACAATTTATTCTACAATTTAACACCTCTAGTGTAAAGTAAGACTTGTTATTAACAAAATAATTAAGAATCTGCCCCAGATCATACCGACAAACTCCTTCATACAAATCATGCATGATGTCCGCACAGGAATTATCCATTACATGAAAAAAAGGTATCTTATGAAATATACAAATTTCCTCAATTCCGTTTCTCTTCGCGCGAGAATCTCTTTCATAGTTTTGGACATTTCTTACAAGCGAAGGATCTGCTTTAGTTTGACTTTGTCTGTTATTTTTATCGGCAGTACACATCCGGCAGCAATTATTCGCTAAAAATGATTTGGTAAATCCTAAAATGGAGTTTATACCTAAATTGTCGCTAACTACTTGGAAAATAACAAAGCGAATTTTTTTATTTTCGAATAATAGAGTCTCTTTAACTAATTCACTTAATTCTTCGATACATCTCCGAAAAACCGGTTCGTTGCCTAAGTTTTTATGGTTCAAATATTTATGCAATTGAAGTAAAAAAATATTTTCTAGCTGACTGGAATATTCGCAAGACATACCGAGAATACTAAAGTAGACTGCTCCGATTTTTCGGAGAACTTTACGTGAACCAATAACATTATTTATTTCAAAATCGTCGCTATAAATCATAAGTGGTATTATAATCTCATCTACGAAAGTCATCTGTATCTTTTGGTACAATCTGCCAGTAAACAAAGAATCAAATGTGTCACTTTTTTTACATATTTTTATATTTGACAATATAGAACTAAATACGCCAGGTAATTGCAAAAACTGTGTTAATAAAGCTTTGATAGGCACGATTTGTACGTGATCGTGTACACGCTCGTTTTTATAATGGCCTTTCATAACTTTACATTTTAGATAAGTAGTTATCGGCACAGCTTTAGGCATAATTAAAGTTTTTTGATCAATAAAATATTTAATTACAAGGTGTTCAGATTTGAACATACTAAAAGCATTGCGAATTAAGGAAAGCTCAACGCTTAGTTCTGGCATTGCTTTATATTTATTTTCTAAATATAATAAGGATATTTTATAAAATTGCGAAAAAGAATTAATTATTTCTAAAATATTTTTGCGGTTCATTGAGGGTTTAGCAAAATATTTTGCTACCAATAAAGCAGATTTTCTAGCGATTGATCGAGAAAACTCTTCAAGACTCAAAACTGGCTCTGTTACGCTATCTATAATTGAAGCTACATCTTTTTGTATTAACTCAATCTCGCTTACACTAGTTGGTTCCGCTACATCTTGAAGGTCATCTAATATAAGAGATGTATTAACATCAATGTTATTTTTAGTGTCATTATGTTTTCTAATCGCATGTTTTTTATACGCATATATGTGGCAAAATTTTTGCTTACAACTAATGTGTGGACATTGAACTTCACTATTTATTTGGGATTTATGTTTCGTTTTTATATGAGGCAAAAAATCTGATTGCGATTTTTGCTTTTCGCAAAACGGGCAAATGATCATTATTATAGATGATAATGACAAGTACAAAAACTAAAATTACTGCAAAAATTATCAATTTCAAAACAATTTCATTTATTTTAATTTTAAATATCTGACAAATTGTCATTTTCTGAACTATTACTTTGACGATCTACCTGTTCATTTATTTCAAATAAATCGCTTTTTTGCAACGTATTAATGATATGTTCCGTATGAGAATAAGTTTTGTCCCATTGGGTTTGTATTGCTAAACACTTTTGAATCATAAGATATATATGCTCACTTTCGATAGGGTATTTCAAGTTAAATACATGAAAGCTTTTAAAGCAAACATTAAATGCATCTAGCACAGATTCGAAATTATAAATTACTTTGTCGATACACACGTAACAATGGTTGATGTGTTCGATGGTTTCACCAACAGCAATTAAGTACGGCTGTAGTGTCTGCTTGTGATTAGCTGCGAAATCCGTTCTTTCTTTTTTCACGGCTGCTACGTCGCCATCCATCTATATACACACACAAAATAATTATTTAAAAGTTTCTAATAAATGATAAAAAAACCGTATTTGATAAGGACATGGCATACTAACGGTTACATATTGAATCATGCTGTGTTTACAATCGCCAATTGAAACCTTCCAGGTACTTTTGTTTACTTTAACTACAGCAGTAGATGGAATTAACCCATTAACGTCCAAAATGTCAAAATTTCTTGCACGTTTTCAAAGTGATTTTTTCCTATGTAATTGGCGTTGAAAAAATTCTTGAACCACATATTCTGATGTAAAATTGCATGCTCTTTCAGAATCCGTTGCCAGAATCATGATAAAACTCACAGGAAAAGAGATATGCTCGATTGAAACATAAAAAACACCTAAATTTTCGAAAAAAAAAATTTTTAGGATTTTTTTTCGAAGTGTTACGGTGAAGATATCACCTTGCGACCGTGATCAAAGGTGATCATGGGATTTGAAGTTTAACAGGGAATTTTTTTGTTTACCTTGAACCATCGCTTCTTTACAAAATGGCGGAAAAAACGAATTTTTTTTTTTTCAATCTTCATCAACTTTTTTCTCAAAATCTATGGTCTTTAGAAAAAAATTCATAAAAACAAAAATGCCTTAGAACCGCTCGAGGAACATTCTCAAATTTTTTCAGAATTTTTTGTGACAATTTTTGATTTTCCGGGAAATTTGGGAAATGGAATTTTCAAAAATGTCTCCAAAAATTCTGAAAAAATTTTAGGATGTTTCTCGAGTAATTCTAAGACATTTTTGTTCTTATGAATTTTTTTCTAAAGTCCATAGATTTCGAGAAAAAAATTGATAAAGTGAACATAGCGGCCGAAACGAATTTTTATTATTTCAACTTTATCAATTTTTTTCTCGAAATCTATGGACTTTAGAAAAAAATTCATAAGAACAAAAATGTCTTAGAATCACTCAAGAAACATCCTGAAATTTTTTCAGAATTTTTGGAGACATTTTTGAAAATTCTATTTCCCAAGTTTCCCGGAAAATCAAAAATTGTCTCAAAAAATTCTGAAAAAATTTGAGAATGTTCCTCGAGCGATTTTAAGGCATTTTTGTTTTTATGAATTTTTTTCTAAAGATCATAGATTTTGAGAAAAAAGTTGATGAAGATTGAAAAAAAAAAATTCGTTTTTTCCGCCATTTTGTAAAGAAGCGATGTTTCAAGGTAAACAAAAAAATTCCCTGTTAAACTTCAAATCCCATGATCACCTTTGATCACGGTCGCAAGGTGATATCTTCACCGTAACACTTCGAAAAAAAATCCTAAAAATTTTTTTTTTCGAAAATTTAGGTGTTTTTTATGTTTCAATCGAGCATATCTCTTTTCCTGTGAGTTTTATCATGATTCTGGCAACGGATTCTGAAAGAGCATGCAATTTTACATCAGAATATGTGGTTCAAGAATTTTTTCAACGCCAATTACATAGGAAAAAATCACTTTGAAAACGTGCAAGAAATTTTGACATTTTGGACGTTAATGGGTTAAGTGAGCTAGTAACTGCAATTGAATAGTCATTCGACCATCTAAACATGAACATAATAATTAGTTAAATAGATATAATAAATCAATAATAAAATAAGACAAGTAATTTATTTGATGATATGATTTTTTTCTTATAAAATCATGTTGTTTAAATCAATTGATAATTTGAAATAAAAAAAAAGGTTAACGAATAATTGCAGATGCCTATAAATTCTATTTATTAAAAACTGGGACAACTAAGGATTTAATTATTTTTAACAATTGTAATGTTTTTCTTATTGAATCATTATGTTATTTAAATCAATTCACAATCTAAAATAAAAAAAAGTAAGAATAATTAATAATTGCAGATGCCTATGAATTTTATTTATCAAGAACTGAAATAAATATCAATAAATGCAAAAAATTTAGAATACTTACTACTATTCAAGTTTTCGTCATTGAGCTTCATTTTTAAACATTTTGCAGTACTATCTTTAGACCGAATAAGTTTAAGCTTAGAAATTTGAGTGAACATTTTCTGCCAAGAATTGTCGTTTAAAGTAAGATTGGTTAATTCCATATGATGAAAATCTTGTTCGATTAGCGGATAAGCACCGGCTTGTTTGAGTATGGGATATTCATCAAACAAATTGGTGACAGTTTGATTAGGTTTTTTGTAGATCGAATGTATTCTGTGATTAGCAGTAACCCTCCAGTGCTCCAACATGACATCATTGATTGGTGCACAATCATTGGCAGCTAGCCAATCCAAGCTTTCTTTAACAGCTTCATCTAATAATAAGAAAAAATATATGTATATATAAGTGTTTGTACATTTCATAAATATGAAAAATATAACATACCAGGTTCATCGACATTTTCAAATTGCTCATCCACGTGACATGCTACGTCCTGAACGTCTTCATCGCTGCTATCAATTGAAGCTAGTTTTGATGACTGGGTGTTCCTCCACTTAATAGGCAACTTGCCTTTAGAAGGTATTGATCTGCCCTTTAAGTTGGAATCCTTTTTTCGAATAGGTGGAATGTAATATGTAGAGAGTACTTCGGTCGGAAAACGCTCGACAATGAACTGTCCAATTTTATGGAATAAATCATTTGTAGCGCTAAAAAAAAAAGTTAAAAAATTCAAAAATACGTAATTTGAAAATTCAAATGATGAGGATATATAACTTGCGGTACTATACCTTTTTGTCAGAGTACGTAATTCGTGAATTATGATTTCAACGAGCTTGTTTCTAGCTTGCGAAAATAATTGCTTTTTTTTCTTGTGTTGATGAATAATTAATTGACCCACTTCTGATTTGTTCAAAATGGATTGGATATCACTCATTTTTAATAAAATAATGCTGTGGTCCACCTCCTGTCGCTGTCCAACGCTGTCATCCTTGATCTCATTTGATGATTGCTCGCATAAAGGGGGCCTCTTCTGGATACTTGCTACCACCTCATCATTCTAAAAGATCAAAAAAATATTAATGATAATGAATCATTGAATCACCTATAAATTCTATTTATCAAGAACTAGAATAACTAAGCATTTAATCATTTCATAAAAAATTATGATATCTTTCTTATTAAATAATTTTGTTGTTTCAATCAATTCACTTGTACAGCCGAATAATGATTTAACCATCTCAATTAAATAGTAAGTCAAGTCAACTTACTAGTTTTCTTTTCCGATTTAACGTCTCATTTGAATTTTCCTTTTTGGCAAAGTGTTGCTCGTAGTTGATTTTGAATTTTAATTGATCTCCGACAAGTGGAATTAATGTTGCTATGCTGACGCTGTCCAATGCATGGATAACATCAATAGTGATCCGGTTTTCTGTTTAACAAAATTTTATTTCAAAAATGAACATTCTTACGAGTCGTCATTCCAAGAATGCGCAACAAAAGAAAATAACGCGGCAATCGATCGTAAACATTTGCGCGGTTAGGATGACATTGATGTTTCTGAGAATGTCTAACAAAGCCAATGGCTTATTTTTGAGACACGAATAGAGCAGAGCACCAAAAATATAATGACAATTTATATTTAATATAAATATAATAACTTTTATTTTTCATGCCCTCTTTCTCTTTTTTATTAAAAATAATTTAATAGGAATTTGCACCTACCTGCAAACACACCGATGTAGTCCTCTAAACCCCAGGATTGTAAGAGATTGTTCACATTCTCGTCGCCCATTATTAGTAGATTTTTATTTGAAATCACAAGTAACACAACATTTTGAACAATTCAACGTCCTGTTTGCGGAGGTGCTACTCTTTCGAGCTTCCGAGTCCAAAAGAACGACACTTGCGAAATGCATCTAGACGAGAACCACGAAAAAGAGGAGGGGGAACCGGCAGACACTTGCCGCTTAAAGTATATATATTTCAACCATTCAATCAAATATTTCTTTGAATGAAATATTTGATTGAATGGTTGAAATCAGTTTCATGATAGATTTGTCAAAGAAATTAGATAAATGTTTTAATTGATTTAGCACTGAATCTATTAAATATTTTTTTCCACAGTATTAAATGGTCATATTGACTTAATTGAATCATTATAATGTAATTTTAAGTAATTTCAATAAAATATTTCATTACAGTAATATGATCATTTCAATAATAATATAATGTGTCTAGTTTGAAAAAATGTTCTGTATCGGTCAGTGTTATTATTATTAGAAACAATGAATCATGTTATCACTTATATAATGTATATCGTAGGTTTCAGAATTTCAATGAAATGATCGAATAATTTTATAAAGTTAATTAAATATTTTGTCAGTTCCATGAGGGATTTAGTTGTTCATATTTCGCATATATTATGAAAGCTATTTTATTAATCATATAATCTTATTGAATAGAAGCGAATGATTATTTACTGACTCAATTAAATATTTAATTCGCAATTTTTTCAATTAAATTGTTGCTTTCGTCTATTAAATGTTGCATGAATCAAAGAAGCGATTTTGTTTTCTCAATTAAGCAATGAAGGATGACACCGATTTTGTAGAATCAGTCAAATCATAATCAATTCAATTAACTTTTGTTCTCAGTGTATTTGTATCGAATTGTGGACGATTATTTTGTATCGAATAGCTTATCATTGTATAGAAATCAATATTTGAAAAATAATGTAGAATAGACTGAAAGTTAAATATAATTGAAAAATCATGCAAAATTGATTCTGTCACCCTTGTGTTTATAATTTACGTCTACCAATTTTATATTCACCATTTCAGCATATCTTACTAGTGAATTACGAGTCGTAGTAAGTTGATGACCAATTCCATTTCAAATAAAATCAAAAGTGCAGAAACAATGTGATGTTAATTATGTTCTTTTGTTACTACAGTAACTAGAGTCAATAATCTTATGGTATACTTCTTAAGTGATCAACATATTTAACATACTTTTTCTTGAGTTCTTTTCTATATATATTACGAAAGTAGACATGTGAAAATTAGAAACATTTACATTAATATTTGTTACTACTGCTGTCTACAACTAAGTATGGAATTGAATTACCGCATAAATATGTTGTTTCGTATTACAATTAGGTATCAAAAACACAATATTTCAAAATTCAATAAACCAGTCATAACAGCATGTTCAGCTGTTAAAAGTGAACTTGATACCAAAAATCGATGATATATCCATCGTCATTTCGTCAGCTCGACGTTCGAAACCAGACTTCGATAGAGTTAGTTCCGAGAGATTACGGAGAAATACGAGTACCCGCCTTTCATCATCTTGCAATGATAATTAAAACTTTACACGAATCTAAAGAATTCTGAGAAATAATGCCAATTACACAAACCTTTGCGCAGGTTTCCATTGATAGAATAAAGAAGCCCCCACCAGTTATTACACATGGTCTGGAACTTCGCATCATCATTATCAATAACAATCTCCTCGTCTTCGGGGAAGCGAGATACCATTTGACGTTGCAACTAAGATAACGCAGTTTGATGTAAATCTCTTGTGAACTCTATGGGTATAGAATTACCATATTGTCAACTTACCAAGCATCGAACACAGACGAATTAGAGTTGATAATCATTTGACCGTGTAAGAATACGATAAAAAAATGTAAAATAAACGCACTGACAAATGTACCATATCTAATAATATCTATTAAATGCTCGCTATTCAACAGAACCTAAAAGGGAACAATTAATGTTAATACACGTCAAGTTACAATCCATGAATTTAAAACTGTCTAACCATACATAATCCAATACTAAACACAGACGTATTAAGCACAAGTATTACAAGCAAAGTGATGCTGTAAAACTTTTCAATAGTTGATATCATTCTATAAGAACATTAGGACAAACATATCAAAACGTTAGTAAAATAAATATTATGTTAGGATTTTTTATACACACTCAAATGCTTCGTTATGTAAATGAATAGCTCGCACTATGGCCTGGTAGGCTTTCTTATCCGCACTTGTAAAATCCAGCATATCCCACTCGTATTCCTTCAAAAACCCAGAAGCTTCTTGTAAGCCTATCCTAAGGATAAACATAGATAAATGAATAAGCATCATATCAATCAATAACTGACAATGCTAAATTTTACAAAATGTCCACCGAATGTGATCGAATGAAAATTGAAGTGGGTCAATAGAATAACGTAAGCTTACTTAACGGCTTTAAAAATGACGCAGATGTGTCTCACTTCCATCATGAAAGAAGCATCATGTGCCACAATAATCATACTATAATAAATAACCCCAAAGATCATAGTAAATATTATAAGGAAATAATATTTGTCCTCATCCATTAAGTAACTATAATCAGCCTTGTATGGAAATACTTTCTTAAAGTTAGTGTTGTTGATCCAAGAATCGGAAACCATTTCAACTAGATTTAAAATGAAAAAAGTTATAAGGACTATAGAAAAATAAACTGGAAAAATTAAATTGATATTATTAATGATAATAGAAAAAAGCAGAATATGAAGTACTTCAGAAATATCATTCTCTCACTTATATATTTAATGAAATAATTCAGGCCCTTCTTAGCAGACTTGTTTAATATGTAGGCATATTGTACTTCGGTAAGCGTTCTGTGCTGAATATTTACTTGTTCATAAATTTTTTGCTTCTGCAATATGAAAGATAATTAAAGTCGGATTATTGCTTAACGAAAGCAGAATATTATATTCAGTTACCTCTTTAATATGAATTTGAAATGAAACAATCTTCAATACTATACCTACCATTATTAATAGCATGAAAAAATTTTCCATAGTAATACCAGAACTTACTCCTAATTCTAACCAGAATCGAATCATCTAAATATAGCGTCGGTTATTATTAGTTTGTTTTTTTCTAAAATATTTATTTAACCTTTTCGCTCCGGAGATTTTTCCTTTAAAATGAACCTCGCATTTCAGCTGAATTTCATGACTTAAGTGAATGAACTACTTATGACAAGTCTCCATACGGAGTGCTAGTCCATAAACGGACCACTCCAGGAGAGAAAGTTAAGGCTAATGTAAAAAATTATAAGTGTAGATTTAAGAGCGCCTTTCAATGTTTTTTGATGTACTGATTTCAATCAAAATAGTGAAAAAAATGTCAGATTTATATTTGACCTTGAACTTTGAAGGTCAAATAATGAAAATACGTATTTGCGCTGGAAAATTGCTATACCTACGTTTTATGAACCGCTAAATACGATGAAAATAGTAAAAAAAAAGTTCTAGTCACCTCTTTGATCTTAAACTTTGTTTGACCTTCAAAGTTCAAGGTCAAAGATGTCACTAGAATTTTTTTTACTAATTTTATCGCATTCAGCGACTCATAAAACGTAGGTATACCAATTTTCAAGCGCAAATACGCATTTTCATTGTTTGACCTTCAAAGTTAATTTTGAAGGTCAAAGAAGTAACCAGGATTTTTTTCAATATTTTTCCTAAATTTAGTGCATTAAATTAACCTTATAAACATCTATTACGTTCGCTTTTCTTATTGGTCCATATGTGGACCATTCCCCAAGCGAAAAGGTTAATATATGTCATAGAATATGTGCGAGAATAGTGATATGAACATTACCACCGGTATCGTCGTTATAATTGTGAATACAATA